ACCTCCTTTATAAATAAATATACTCTACTCTTACGGGACTAATGATCTTGGCAGTTGATACGCCCTAACTCACCAACAACCAACCCACCAACCCACATACCCAGCTACCCACCAACCCACCTACCCACCAACCCACGTACTCTCCTACCCATCTACCTACGTACCCACCTACCCACCAACCCACCTATTCACCAATCCACCAACACTTCCCTCCCCGGAGCAACCTCCACGAGGAAGCTATACGCACTGCTGGGAGTCACTGGATTCTCTCCCTTTTCCCCGGTGCCATCGTCGCGACGTCTGTACCTTCCTCGGAGAGCTCTTATCCCGGCAGGGACGGTGCCTTGCTGGCGAGAGGTACCTGAATTGACAATACTCTGCAAGCCGGTTTGACGGGTCGGCGCCGCATCTCGTCATCAATCTAGGGAAGATCCCCCTACCACCCTCGATAAATAAATATGCTCTACTCTTACGGGACAAATGACCTTAGCAGTTGATACGCCCTAAATCACCAACAACCAACCCGCGAACCCACCTATCGACCTACCCACTTACCTATCCCTCTACCTACGTACCCACCTACCCACCAACCTACGTACCCACCAACCTACGTACCCACCAACCTACGTACCCACCAACCTACGTACCCCACCAACCTACGTACCCCACCAACCCTAAACTACCCACCAAACCCTACGTACGCCAACCAACCTAACGTACCCACCAACCACTACCCACCCAAACCTACGACCCCCAACTACGTAGCCCACCAAAACCGACGTACCCACAACCTACGTACCCACCAACCTACGTACCCACCAACCTACGATAACCACCAACCTAACGTACCCACCAACCTACGTACCCACCAACCTACTTACCCACCAACTACGTACCCACCCAACCTACCGACCCACCAAGCCTACGTACCCACAACCTACTACCCCACCACCAGTACCCCACCAACCACTACCCACCAACCTACGTACCCACCTACCCACGTACCCCCCACCACCCACTACCCACCTACCCACCGACCCACCTACCCACCGAACGAACCTACCTCACCAACCCACCTAGCCACCTACCCACCTAGCACCAACCCACCTACCACCTTAGCACCTACCACCTACCCCAACCTACCAACCGAGCCACCTACCCAACCTACCACCTACCCACCTACCCACCTACCCACCTACCCAGCCTAACCCACCTACCCACCTACCCACCTAACCGCACCTACCCACTACCAACCTACCAACCTACCCACCAACCCACCCAACCCAACCAACCCACCCAACCTACCCACCTACCCACCTAACCCACCTACCCCACCTACCCACCACCCCTCCAACCCACCTACTCACCCACTCCTCAAACCCACCAACCCACCTACCAAAACGAACACTTCCCTCCTTTAGCAAACTCCACAGCAGCTCGGCGCCGACGCTGGGCGTCACTCCATTCTGTCCCTTTTCCCGGTGCCATTCGTCGCGACGTCTGTATCTCTCGGGAAGCTCGCACGCGTCAAGTTCGCTTCGGGCTCCGTTCACTGTCACCGCAGCGCGCAGCCTCCTCTCCCCCCCCCCCCCCGCGC